TTGCATGATTCACTCAGCAACACAAAAACCAACCTAACAGAGCTCAGTCAAATAAAAGTCACCTGTGGTTCTTTTTTCTGGGGGCACCTTTCTCCCACTGGGTAATATACACAAACTGGCTGGAGGCTAATGCTCGTACATGTGCCAATGGCAGCCTTCTCTGACCTCTGCTGTCAGTAACAGTTCAGACGATTCCTGAACCTGTTTCTGCACGATGTCCAGATGCCTCTCCCCTCTTCTCTTCTCTTCTCCTCTCCTGCTTCTCTTTCAGCCTAAACACTAAAACAGTGTTGGGATTTCTCACCATCTTCTCCACCACCAGCCCTCACTGGGGAGGTGTTCACAACGCTTCTGCTTTCTCCTCTGTCTCCACACACTTTTGGAGATGCTTTTATAACCTCATGGCTTATTTTCCTTTCCTTTTTTTCTCAGTGCATGTGCTGTTTAAAAACACAGGTGCCAGGTGTACGTAGCTCAACAGTGGAGCTCCAGAAATAAGCACCTCGCCCCCAAGTCAGAGATGCTTGCCTTTCTTGGTCTGTTTTGTCAATCAGCCAACAGCAGCCTAAGGCAGTTAAGGAGAGAGTGGACAGAATGCTTGGAAAGTGACCAGAACATACAATAAATAAATTGGGCTGAGGCAGGAGGAGGGCGAGTTCAAGGCCAGCCTGAGCACTTTAGTAACTTAGTGAGATCCTGCCTTAAAATTAATAAATAAATAAACATACAAAAAGGGCTGGGAATGTAGCTCAGTAGGGAGGCACTGGGTTCAGTTTCTAGTACAGGGAAGGAAAACCAACCAACCAAACAAAAAGAACTAACAAACTCTCTAAGTGCCAGTTCTTGTCCTGATTCATTCAGTGGGCTTCAAGGAACATCCTTCAAAGGACCTTCTTCCTTGAGTGGAGGGCCTTTTCCTAGAGAAAAATTTCCTTTGAATAAAGTCAAATAAGGAAGTTTTAACTGGGCCAGGAAGAATTTGTTAATGAGTCTAATAACAAAGAAAGTTGATTATAAATACCCAGTAAGATTTAAGCTCCTGTGTTCTACAGAATTTTTTTAAATGTTATTTTTAAACAATATATTAGTTTCTGTTTCTTGGCAAATCTTAAAGGTCATTGAGCCTTCATATGAAATGCATAAAATTCTCGTTAAATAAGATCTTTTTTCTGGGCCACAATTGCTCGTCCAAGTCACTCCCACAGTCGGAGGTTCAGGAAGGTCTGAGCAGGAAGGTCTGAGTATTTTCAGGTTCTCCGCTGAGGGCTAACATCTGTGTTCCACTAGCGGGCTGCTCGAAGAGCCAGATGAGCTTCACCTACCAGGTGGCTCAATTAATGTCTCTTTTACGAGAAAGTGAAATTCAACAAGGAACTAGAAATAAAACTGGTACCACCTCAGCCCCAAGGCGTCAGTGGGCCACAGAATTGGTGTCCTACAGGGTCATCCAGAGCACAGGAACTTGCAACATGGTAATTACTGAATGTAACTCTTAAACGTCCCTGTGGCAATGGAGAACAGTGGGGACCATCTGTGCTTCAGAGGAAGGCTGGGGACATGGGGAAGTTTCCCTAATGTAAACCACGCATAGAAGAGAATCCAGACAGATTCAGAGGCAAACACAGATTCAGAAAACAACACTTTTATGGAGCTGAATGGAAAGACTCAAAAATATTTATCAAGACATACTTTCAGGGCAATTCTGAATTCTCCTTTTATCCAATATTTTTGTTTCTCATATAATTAAGATCACAGTACATTTAGTCGTTTCTTAACATATTCTCCAAGTATCTAGGGCGAATATTTTAAAAACACTGCTCATTAGGTACGTAAAGTTAAATTGTTCTAATTTGGTTTATCTTTACTGAGTTAACATTTACTTGATTTAAGAAAGTGAAATTCCATAGATATTTGAAGGAGTCAGAGGCGAAACTGGTACCAATCTGAGCATCCTGGGATCTCGAAATCAGACTGACGTGGCCTGCTGCTGGTCTTCAGCAGCAGCTGAGAAGTGGCTCCCCACACTGGCTACCTTGCAGGGTTACCTCTGAAGTTTTACCTTTTACTTATTTAAATCCTTTAAAACATTTGAATCCTTTAATACATGTGGGGCTGTGACTGCTAAGGAGTGCGAAGAGGATGACTGGCTGCCCACAGCTGAGGTCACACTGCAGGCTACTAAGGTGTGCAGGTGGGTACATGTGTACGGGCGAGTCTGGGGCATCTGGGGAAGGCGCTGATATTTGGGCTGCAGTCTCCCTTTTGTCTCTACTGTGGCTCTCACCATGGAGACTCAGGGAGCGACTCAGATCCTCTCAGTCTTTGTAGCCATTGGGCAAATTGCAAGCTGCAATTCTATCACCAACACAGGGGCAGAGCCCTTGTGCAATGCAAGGTGGGCAGTTCGCCCTAGGCTTGGTCTTCCTGCTTAACCGGAGTATGCTGTCTGTGAGTTTTCTCCTTGACACACCCTCTTCCTCACAGACAATGGTCCCTCCATAATCTTATTTCTATGACTGCCATCTCCAAGTGCTGGTAGCTGAGGAAAAAGGTATAAATGAGTGATGCAGATAAGACACTGGTTTGGGTTGGCTTATTTTAATGGCCATAAAACTGCTTCTAATTCCATTCAGCCTGTCTGTGTCCAATGGGAACCATGTTTACCATGAAACAGTGTTGTTTATTTTGTATTTAAAATAAACTAGAAATGATTATTTTTCTATGCAACTGAAAAAGTCAAGTTCAATCAACTCTCCAGATGAAATATGGCCTTTTCCTCCCCAAATCCAAGAAAAAAATCTACTTACATAATTTCCCTTAAGTATGTAGTAATGGGTGACACAAACGCATGTCCAAAAAGGATCTCTTGTCCCAGGAGTATGAATTTAATTTGTTTTAAATTAAGCTAAAAAGTTTAAAAACAAGGCACGTCGAGTTCCAACAATCAGAACTTGCATAGCACCTGTAACAGAGATTGTGGTAAGGGTAATGTCACCTCCACAGGTGCCCCTCGGGAAGGAACAGGCCTCACAGCGGGATTCACAGCTTTAACTTGGGATTTAGGGTACTGGGTTCTAAAACCCTATTTTTATATCTATGGTGGAGAATAAGCCTCAAAATCTACCAATTTAAATGTAAATCAGATGCAGCCACACTGCAACAGTTTCAAGATGAATAACTGTATATTTGTAATTTTAAGAATGTCTAATTTTCAGGTTTGCTAAGTTCAAAACTATGCACAACATAAGCCATTGGGGCACAATGGTTAGCACTGGCACCTCCAGGTGAGGGTGTGTTGGGGTGTGCAGATGGTGTGCAAGAGGTGTGTTCGCTGCCTTGATTTTGTCATAGATTTGCAAATTATCAAAATTAAAATGAGACAACTATGATGTCATACACATAGTACATGTCATCAAATAGTTTGTTTACCCTGATTTCAGGGTAAAAAAATCTCTAACCCCTGTCATACCTATTTCATAGGTAAAAATGTTTCTGCTAAAGGAAAAAATGGGAGAAATACTGAACATGTACTAAAAGAAAAACTGTTCTAAAAGCCAGTGGAGGGAGGGAACGCTGTCAACAAGCTCATCTGGAGTTCAGGGAAATATGTTCCCACTGGCTCCATACTGGCTCCCATGCTTATCACAAAAAACAGTGTATCCCTCCTTTACCAATGACAGTAAAGCCATCTGTCAGCCAGGCGTAGTGGCTCACACCTGTAAACCCAGCACTCGGGAGGCTGAGGCAGGAGGATCGTTTAGTTCAAGATCAACCTGGGCTACAAAGTGAGCTCAAGGCCAGCCTGAACTGCATAGTGAGACTCTGTCTCAAAAAAAAAAAAAAAATAATAATAATAATAATAATAAGCCATCTCTCAGTAAGATAGAAATTGTTTCTAACTTTAAGAAATAAAAAGATTTTCTCAATTGAGACCTTAATATTGTTTGATATGAATTTCTCATGGGCTGTTTAAAGTTTCACAGTTTTGATTCCTGTTTGGAGTCCAGTGCTAAATAGCAAGGCTTCATTATTCCTGTTAGATCTTTGGCTAAATGATATTGACTTAGCAAAAGAATAAGAAATTTTTTTGACCTTCATTTACTTTGAGATGGGAGTCAGCACTATACTAACCCCAAATCTTCTGTCTCTGGATGAAAATGCGGAGAATCAGAACCATATGGAGTAAATAGTATCAACAATGCAAGAAGCTGTCTGAAAGGGAGTTCCACGACAGAAGGAGGCTTACAGCAAACAGGCTACGCACCAAACAGTGGGCAGACAATGTGAAGGTCCACGGCAGGGAGCCAAGGCCTCTCTAGCAAGAGCACTCCTGGCATTAGGATGCACCCATGGCTGGCTGGGCACCCACACATTCCATGAGTGAAGTGTTCATTTCTGGGGACACTGCCAGCTGCTGGTCTTAAAAACTTCTCATGGCTTCAGAAGTGGCCACCCTATACCTGTCTTCCCCTTCCTGAGTTCCCCGTGTGAATACTGGCCACCAGCTCACAGCGGAGAACCCAGAGTGACAGAGGGGCCTAAAGAAGAGAATTCTCACACATCTGATACCATGATCTGGGAGATGAAGGGAGAGGAATACAGAAAGAAATATTCGGAAAAACTGAGTGTTACCTCTTCGCAGAAACAAAACTAAAAAAGATAACTTGAGCTGGGTGTGGTAATTGCTATAATACCAGCAATTCTGGGAAACCAAAGTAGGAGGACTACAAATTTAAACACAGACTGGGCAAGATCCTGTCTTAAAATAAAAAAATTTTTAAAAAGGGGCTGCGAATGTAACTCAGTCTAAAGAACTCAAGCAATCCTCCTGCCTCAGCCTCCCAAGTAGCTAGAACTATAGGCACATGCCACTGCACCTAGGAGACGCCTGGAACCCTTTAATATCTAAAGATGATTCGTATAAATCAAATAAGCTAGCAGTTGTCAGTTCTTTTGCTTTTGAAAACATATATTTAGTAATAAGCAAAAATAAGATAGAATATGTTAAATAACACTACTTTAATTCCCTGAGATGATACACACAGACACACTACACACCACAGTGACACAGCACAAGTGTTTACAAGAATCATTTGGAGTAAAATCAAATATATGAGATAGATTTCACCCTTATGGTTTGTTGCTATAAATTTATTTAGATCATGAAAACTGTCATTTTAAAAATTCCTAAAATAATTTTGGCACGAGTCAAATGTTCTGTGTTAAATCCCTGAGCATTTTAATGGTCCCTGAGGCTGATTTCCGCATGGTCCTCTTTTCCAGCCACCGTCCCCTCTGTCCCCGATACCTTGCTACCTCCCTGGGTTCCTGGTCATCTTAACTGCTGACCGCGGATAAACACATATTGTGGTCCCTCTCTAACCAACTGTGCTCTGCAGAGATCAGAGAGCATCAGGTCCTCACCCAGGGAGGACCCGCCAGCTCTGTGTTTATTGCTGGACACAGGAGGCAGGCAGGGGCACAGGTTGCGCCCCTCTGCTGTTCTACAGACTGCTGCAGTGGTCAGTGTTCTATCATCTCCAGGGCTTTATGCCGCAGATGCTCATCCAGACACTGGATGGCAAAGAGGTCGACGTCCATGTCAAACTTGTTGGCAAAAAAGTGGTGTTTGCGCAGCATCCACGTCAAGTCCCCAGCTCCAAAAATGCACACGCTGCGTACATGGACCCCATCACACGGGGGATAGGGCGCGCCCTTGTTCAGGTCCCCTTCAAGGTACTGCCACTTGACGAACCTGGCCACGGCCTGCATGTCAGATAGGTCGTACTTGTGGTTCAGGGGCAGGGAGCCTGGGGCCTCAGGGATCCTTTGGATCGTGGCCCAGAGATACTCATCAGGGCTGTACGTGTCTTGTGCCCACTCCATGAACTTCCGGATGTCTTCATTTTCCAGCACATAGCCCACATACTCCCTGCTGACCACAAAGTAGGCGCTCCCTGAGAAAAGAGGTGTTTTGAGCGGAGGCTGCGTTTTGGGGGTCCCCGTGTCTGTCAGCTTCCCGTCGACAACTGCATAGTGCCTCTTCCACCTTTCTGCTTTGTGGGATGGCATCTTCTCCGTCTCCAGACTGTTTTCACCCATGAACGACTTGAGCTTCCTGACAATTTCCAGGTTGGTTTTAATGGGAAAATCCATCCCACAAAGGTTGATCAGGTACTTCCAGTCCGCGCTCATTCTGTAGAGGTCCTTCATGCAGTTCAGGTCAGCCTGCACCCGGCTCCACGATGCGTAGACCACGCTCTCCAGCTGACTGGCCACAAAGACATTCCTGAAACAGGACGCGATGCCTTTCACCGCGGCTATGAAGGAGTCCTTTGATTTTCTGTCCACATGGATGCAATAGAAATTCTGAGGCATATAAATGGCCCTTAGAAGCCTGTCAAGCATCTCGATTTTGTGATGGACCACTATGGAGTACGCAATCGGGAAGCCTGCCTCCTCTTTGCTAAGGGGTTCCGTGATGTATTTGCGCATCTTGATGAAGGAGGTGCAGTCCCTGGTCATGTTGACGTAGTCAGACGGCGTCCATCGAGGGCGTTTTCTAAAGTTTGCTGTCAACATTTCAAGCTTTGCTTTCTGGATTTCGTCTGCATCACTCTGCAAAATTTTGGTGCAATTAATATTACTACTGGGATTCTCTCCGACAAGTTCCAAGTGTCTGAGGCTTACAAATTCAGGCTTACAAATTCTCAAGACAGTGAATGTAACTAGGGATAAAACGAGAATCACAAAATAGTATTTAGTGGGATAAGAAAAAAGTCTCCTTCGTAATAAATTCCTCAGCATTTCAAATGGCAGTCAGAGACTCTCCCTCCTTAAGGGCAATCTTCAAACCGAGATGCCAGTGATCCTTCCTCCAGTCTGCCCGCTGCTGCAGCCTAAAGAGCTGATGGGCTGAGTTTATTGCACATACGAAGGCATCTTGAAAGGCAGAATGGCACTGAAAGAAAAAGAGAAAGAAAAAAATTTGTGTGTATATATATCATGGAGCAATCATGGGAGAAGAGGTGGGTAGTTTCAGAAGAAACCCAGTCTCCAGTCTTAAAGCTGTAAATTCAAGGGCAGGAAAACAACCGTCAAAGCCTAGTGCAGTCCTGAAATAGCTTACAACAAAAATTTGACCTTTCAGGTATATTACAGTGCAAAAACATACAGACTCAGGCAGGCTATAATTATTGAAGTGGCCACATAGCATGAGTTTTTTACTATGCCAATTTTAAGAATATTCCTTGTCTTAAAATTGTTACTCATCCAAGTTCCTCCTCACATGGAGGAACAGCTGCTGTCAGCCGCAGCTGTGAAGATTTGAAGAATTAGACCCATCCTGCTTTGCGGTGATTTGAGATGGTGGTGAGGGGCACACTTAAGAATGGTAGTGACTTCTAGCTGGACTTGGTGGTGCCCTCCTATAATACCAGCATTCAGGAGGCTGAGGCAGGAGGATCACTGAGTGAGTTTAAGACCAGCTTGACCTGTCAAACAAGATATTGTCTCAAAAAACAAAATGAAACAAAAATGGTAGTGACTTCTAAGAAACTTTGAAGAGAGGACAACTCAACTGAGTTCTCAAACTGAAGCAAAAGGGCTTGGCTGAAACCTTGATATAGGCCTGGCCTGGGTGAAACTCACCCTGAAGTTTAGCTCTATGGCAGGTACTGAAGGCACTCAAGATACACACAATCCAAAAATATTGCCTTCTACTTCCTATTTTATAATAATAAAGCCCTTAGAATAATACCCGTTGTACATAAATATAATTTGTGACAGATCTTTTGTCTGTATTTAAATTCGAGGGCCCCAACCAAGTTTTAGTATATAAAATGCTTATAAAAATCCCCATATTGTTGTAAATAAAAATGAACAATTTTTGTAACTTGGGAAATTAATTCTGTAACTAATAGGTGCTCTTCTAAAACAAGGTCAAAGATCACTCTCTGTATCTGTACCAGACGTATAAAGACTTGAAATAAGAATTAGTTCTGACACTTTAAAGTACTTCATTAGAAAATAAACTGTCAATAATATGACTAAAATTAATTAATTGGCCATTACTAGTAGAGACGAACATGAAGAAAGTACTTAGCCTTTTTACCATTGAGAATTACGGAGAATCTGGGGCAGTTAGCTCTCTGGTTCCAGCTGACATCCTGCAGCTGCTCAGAATCCCTCTCAGACCACCAGGTTTCTTAAAGGTCCCAGGCATTCGGCAATGGTAGCATGTCTGTGAGGCTTTTATCTGTGAGATGAAAAGACAAATGTGGCATATATGCACTTGTGGTATCCACACACCCAAAGCTTGCTGGTGAGCTAATGCTATATACTGACTTGTTTTCATTTTTTGCTCAAAATCATGGCTGGCAAGTTTATGTTTTCAAAATTCTCTTCTTTATAATCGTACTTTTTTTCTGATGTTATTGTCATGGATTGCTAAAGATCTGAAAAACGACGAAATTTAAGGTAAGCTTTCTATGCGCGCATGCACACATGCATGTGTTTCCATATTGTGCTAGAGATTGCAGCCAGGCCTCCAGGATACTAGGGGAGTGCTTTATCACTAAGCTATATCCCCAGTTGACAGGTGAAGCTTTTTGAAAGGAAACCAGTAGCATTTTCCAAACTGTGTGCCAATAACAGTTTAGTGGTCTGGTATGACTGGAAATCTGGCAGCACCTCTACGCCACATTGGCATAGTAATGACTGTCCTGCAACTGAAAAAGCTGCTCATCTCAAGGTGAAGGGGCACATGAGTACCTCACAGGAGGACAGGAAGGCAGAAGGCAGGACCACAGGGAGAGAGAAAGGGAGAGAGGGAGAGAGGCAGAGACAGAGGGAGACAGGCAGAGAGAGGGAAAGCGGGGGGGGGGGTGGTGGAAAGCAAAATTGGAAGAGCAGATGGAAGGGAATTTGCTGATTACTCAGACCCTTGGAGCCCTGACTGACAATAAGCAAGGAGAGGAGGAGAGAACAAGTTCTGTTTACACTGCAGAGTCTTCCAGAAGACCCAGGAACAGTGACATGGATACTGTGAAAGGGGGGTTGGCATCTGTTTACAGAGTACTTGGGTCTCTACCTCAAAGCTAGCAAAGGCTCCAAGATTTAATCTCTGCCGAGTTCCACAGGCAGGGCTGGCCAGGCACAATGGAAAGCGGCGTTCCCGTCAGCAAGCAGCGGGTCCCAGGCACAGGAAACTGACCTCTCCTCCCCACGTCAGCCTGCTTGTGCCCACTGTGCTCAGAGCTGCGTCAAGCCAAGGAAGGCACTTATTTACTAAAGAATGCAACTGAGTCAAGAGAAAAAAGGAAACCTTAGAGATGCAGCTTACTCTGGGAGTTCCTTAAAGGTTTAAAGGCAACAGACTGAAGGGAAAAGAAAGCTGCCAATCAATCATTACCTAAGGGGGAAGTTAAGTAAACAGATGGGGAAGACTATGCTGCTAAAGACAGCCAGAACCACAGTTTGATCCCACATGTGCTTCTGCACTACGATCGTGACACTGCCCCTTTAGTTTGGTGGCCTTATGAATATGCTGACCAATAGATTTTGGTAGAAAACTGTGCCAGCCTCCAGGCTGGGTCACATGAAACTTCCTCCATCTGGCTACCTTGGAAAATCTGCTCTTTAGAATCTCCTTTTAGAACAAGGCTCCACGCAGAGAGAGGAGTCTGGAACCTGCTCAGCAGCCTTCATGCCAGCCCAGGGGCTGTGCCCACCCGCGAAGCAGCGCCCGGGTAACTCCAGCCCTGCTCACTGTTCCTAACCACAGAAGGTGTGAGCAAAACATGAAACAGCAATGCTGTTTGTTGCTACATTTGAGGTAGTTTGCCTCACAGCGATAGAGGACAAGAACAAACAGGAAACCACAGAACCAGTAGCAAATAAAAAAGGAGCTTCTAAAAATCAATGACCTCATAACAAAAATGAACAACGCAACAGATGGGTCAAAAGATGAAGTAGAAAAAAAAAATCTCAGCACATTAAACAAACAAATGGGTGGAAGGATAAGCAGAACATTACAGTAAGTTAGAGAAACAGAACAGGGACCCACCACCTAAATAACAGGAGCTCCAGGAAGAAAAAAAGAAAAAGGAAAAAGGGAAGGAAGCCATCAATTAAGTCAGGACTCCTTCTTAAAATGAAGGAGCGTTTTCCAGATTGTGAAATCCCCTGGAGTACAGGCACAAGAGCTAAAATCAGAAACATGCAAGGATGTGCTCCTGTATCAGTCATGGAACGTCAGAACACAGGGAAAGAGCGTCACTTGAGCTTGCACAGGGCAGGAAGGTGAAGCTGCATAGACAGTGTTCACGAAATCCAACTACAGAAACCAAAAGACAATGAAGCAAGGTCTTTACAGTGCAGATGGAAGTTGAATTCCAGCTGAGAATCCTTATAAACAAGTTGCCTACTAATCAAAGGGTAAAATAAAAATGTCTGAAGGTGAGGATCTCAAAATCTTTGCTTTATATGCATCTTCCTCAGGAAGCTCCTGGAAAATGAATTTCATCAACACTCAAATATTAACCAAGAAAAGGAAGCCATTAGTAAAAATCAGAAGGCAGATCTGACCTGTGCAGAGAAAAGGGAACCCCCAGGACCACGGTAAAGGGGCTTCCTCTGTGGAGTAACAGACTGCTGGCACCTCGGAGAACAATGTCTTCTCAAGAGCAAAACCGCTGGATAATTGGTGGGAATATGCATGCTAAAAACCAACTTAAACAACAGGCAGACAATGGCACTGTACTAGTGATAACTACCTTGAAATACAGCCAGTGAAGGGAATTAGGAGCATAATTATGGACTCCAAAGAAATCAGTCATGAAGTGATGAAAAAAAGCCATCATTACATACCCCATGGCTTAACTCTGAAGAACAGTAACACTATAACCATTGTTTATCCATGGAGAGTCAATAAAACCCTTCACAAGGCCCTGGGTTCCATGCCCAGCCTGGGAGTGGGAGGGTGGAGAGACAAGGTATGGACACAGAGCACCAGGCATGGGAAGGACTGCAGTGTCCAGCACCACAGAAATAGCATGGGAGGGAGCTCTGCGTTCTTTGCTGCTGAGAGATCATGGCCTCTTTCTAATTTTATTTTATCACCAAGCCCTTGTGGTCAACAGCTTAACATGGTAGAAAGAGCAAAGCAGGGCAAAGGGGAAAAGCCCGTGTATGATGGTCTTCCCTGTGGTAAATAGATGAGGATATTCTTCTAGGAAAGAGTCCCCAACCACTGATTATCAGATCTAGATCTCAGCCCGAAAATAAGCACAAAACACAAGGAGACCCTAAATGCTGAAAATAAGAACAACAGTGGCATTTAAAAAGCAACATCTACTACAGATGCCTAGCATGCACTTCTTGGATTTCACCATGTGAAAAATCATATTATCCCAGTACCATCACTTGCAAGTTAATTTAGAGAAACATCACTTTATAGAGAAGAAAATGAGAAAAAGGAATTAAATGAATCAATGAATTCATTCATTCATTAAATGAATGAGCAACATGTGGCTCAGGCTATATTTTCATTAATTCCTTTTATAGTAAAAAGAAAGGCAATAGGCATAATGCGGAGCAACTGTAAAGCCGGCTACGTGGGAGGCTGAGGTATGAGGATTGTGAGTTTGAGGGTGCCTGGGCGAATTCAGCAAGACCTTGTCACAACAACGGGAAGTGGGAAGGGAGGGAGGACAGGATTCAGACAGTCAAAGAGACAAAGCAAAAATTTGAGAGCTACAAAGATATGATATACATATCTTGTGAAGTAATACAGGAAAACTTTATGTGGTTTATTATTATTTAAAGATGCAGTTACTTTTCTCTCATTGCTGAGACAAAATATTTGATGCCCTAAATGAAGGAAGGAAGGAAAGGTTTATTTAGCTCACAGTTTGTGGAGGTTTCAGTCCATAATCAACTGGCTTCAAAGCAGGGTGGTGTGACAGAGAGCAATGGTTCATGGCATGGTGGAGGGCAGAAGAAGCAGCAGGAGACCAAAAGGGAGGAGGAGCAAAGGGGTAAAGTGGCAAAAGGGAGAAGCAAGGCTCCTTCCCTCCCCGTCAGTCCCTGCACTAGAGATAGTGAACCAATTACATACTGGAGATTCAGTCACCTTTGAAAGCTCCCCACGACCACATGAGGCTCTGGGGGGACATCTAGATACAAACCATAACATGGTGGAAACACTGTTTCTTTAAAACCAGCACATAATACAACAAAGTGCTGGATTATTTTCTGCACCTCCTTTGGAAAGAGGACTTTCAGGATGAATGTTATAGGGAAAGTCAGACTGGGTGATAAAGTGAGCAGGACGTGTCCCTTCCTCAGAACCTCGTACATTAGTGCCAAGCATAGAGAATCACTCGACAATATTTGGTGAATGAATAAAGTCTCTCAACTGAAGCTCACATTCCCCTGCCAGAGGCCACATTTAACCTTTCTTCCCTTTGACCGCTAAGTCCCTACACTTGCAAATACCAGAGAAGAATTGAAAGCATACTGTTTCTTTTTCCTTCCTTTCTTTTGGCAGTTCAGGGCATGGAACTCAGGACTCATACACGCTACACATGCACTCTGCATCCAAGCTACAGCCCAGTCCTAGAAGTCTGAAGATAGAACAAAATGGTAATAAGTGATTAAAAAAATCCAAACCCCTCCTACACAAAGGTAGCAGCAAACATCTAAAAGGTAGAGGAAATGCCGGACGACATCTCTGGAGTCTCAGAAGGTGGAATCCCAAAGCTGGCAAAGGGGGAGGGAGGCAGAGACAACCAGAGTTCTAATAGCTGCTGCTGGCAGCCGGGATGAACAATGCAGTGCCTCCAGCTGTGAGGGAACCGCTCTCCACTTCAGAGTCCTAAACAACCCTCCAGGCTTCCGCCACGTGGATATGGAGTGAAAGCATTTTCACAAAAAGTCACTCCTCGGCAGGTCAGTGCAAGAAGTACACTCGCCAGTAACCAGTTCCAAGAGGCACCTCACAGTGTAACTCTGCTGGCAGTTAGACTGCGAGAGCCGGCACTTCACAGCACTTGATGCTCCTCTGGACTCTTCTAAGTGACTCACCTACGGTCGCTAGAGAACCTCCCTGAGAACCTCACATGGAAAAGTACTGTTTTCAAATGGGGAAACTAAGGCATCAGGGGTCACCTAATTTTCCAGGGTCGCATAACTAAGCCAAAAGGCTTGGATCCAAAGCAGTGCATCTGTTCCCAAGTCTGTGGAACACTGCTTATCAAGAGAAAGACAGAAGACCCAGAAGTCACTCAAGGGACCATTATCAAAGAAAGGCATCCAAAATCTTACAGTTACAAGGAAAAGAGACCCCCAAATGACGGCTATGTAGGGGTGCTTGGGAGAAATCAGCTTAATGAAAGCCAGGGAATGAATGACTACAGAAGGTGTCTGTTAAGGAGACAAAACAGAACCTTTCTTGGACATGAATGTATTTACAAAAAACTTGACAACTAAGGTAGAGGTCAGAGTTACAGGAATAAAATATACACAGTAAACAACAAAAAAGCATGAAAATAGGCTGTGCCCAGCAGTGCGCATCTGCGATCTTGGGAGGTTGAAGAAGGAAGACGCCAGGTTTGAGTTCAACGTGGGCACTTTAAGGAGGCTGTGTGATGAAAAATAAAAAGGGGTGGGAATATAATTCTGTGGTTGAATGCCCCTGGGTCCTAACCTCTCTCGCACAGGAGGGAAAAGAAGCAAAGAAATTAACTCTGAGGAACACAGAAAAGCACAACAGAAGAAATCATGGTATGCTATGCCAGAATATATATAACATAAGATTATATGCTCAGAACCACTAATCTGGGGACAAGGGGCAGGACTAAAGTGAGTGTAATTACTGCAAGAGCTTGGAGGTAAGAGAAAATTGTACCCTCCATGACGTATAAAGAATTTACAACTGAACAGTCTGGAAAGTGTAAGTATGCTTTTTAGAGAGCTGGAAACACATACTCAAGAAAACCAATAAAAAGTTGAAAATGCTACCTGCCAGGGCTGTGTTGTTTGGCTCGGTAGCCACTAGTGACATAGGACTACTGAGCCTTTGCAATGTGCCTAGTGTGAGTGAGGAAATGAGTTTAAAATTTTTATTTTTATTTTTATTAATTAAAGTTTAAAAAGTTAAGCCATGTGTGATGGTGCACACATATAACCCCGGCAGTTTTGAACGGTAAGGCGGGCCTGGGCAATTTGGGGAGACCCTATGTCAAAAGTGTAGTCCGATCAAAGACCCTGGGTTCAATCCCCAGTACCAAGAGTGGGAGTAAGGGTGAGAAGCAAGAATTTAAAACGTTAAAACAATGTAAATCAGTGTAATAACCTTCCCAATGCAACTTTACCATTTCCACTTTATGGATGTACTATGTGGATTATTATGATATTCTTACTGTATATCTTTAGATTAGACACATAGACCTCATTAACGACTATTTATGTTGCTTATGTATTAAAATTTTGATATACTATGTTAAAGATAGTACAGGTGAGTTAGCCTTATCTAAAATGCTGGGACTCAAAGTACTTTGCATTTCACTCCCCCCCCCCACCCCAGATTTTGGAATATTTGCAAATACATACATAATGGGACAGTTTAGGGAGGAGAGCCAAGCCTGAACACAAATTTCATTTACATTTCATACGCACATTATACATATAACCTGAAAGTAATTTTAGATAACATTTTTATTGCACCTACATTTTTACTGTGATCAGCTGTATCAGATCAAGTGAGGAATTTCTTTTCTTTTTTGGTCTTTTTGAGACAGGGTCCCGCTATGCAGTTCAGGTTGGCCTTGAGCTTGGATGAGGAATTTTACACTTGTGGTGTCTATGTCAGTGCTCAAAAATGTCAGAATTTGGAGCATTTTAGGTTTTGGATTTTCAGGTTAGAGGTGTTCATCTATATTAAAATTTTTTACCTGTTTCTCTTTGCTTTTTAAAGGTACTGTTAGAAAGCTTTTACATCTGACTCACATATTTTTATTATACAGTAGGGAAGAGGAAGTTTTGGGCACCATCAAGAAGAGAACATTATTTTAAGTAACTAAAATTCTTTGTTGCAAAATAATTCTCCATGGGCCTAACAAATTCTTGTTCATCTTGCCAGTGTGGCACTAACTGCCTTTTTGCTGTGGACTACTTTTTAAGGTTACTTTTTGATACCAAACTACCTTTAAAGATAGGAGTATTATTTCCCTCCTTATTACAGACAAGGCTTCTTGACAGTAAAGGAAGGTAGGCCTGGGCGCGTAGCTCCGTGGCACAGTACGCTTGCCTAGCATATGCAAAGCACTGAATTTGATCCCCAGTCCAGCACACAAGAAAGATAATGTTGCCTGGAAAAGCACACAGCATGCACAGCATCCACTAAAAAAGATTCGGGTTCCCCAAGCTCAGGGTCCTTTCCCATCATGCAACCCATGGTTCGTGCAGTTATCACTACGCTTTTCAGGCTGTTCTGTGGGAACGAGGGCTTGAGAAACCCACAGAGGAAATAATGACCCTCTGTTCCTGCTGCTAGTATAGCTGACAAACTCTCTCATCTCTGGGCCATGAAACTGTGTCTTCTGCAGGGTCCCCCAAAACTGTGGCAGAGCTTTTAATAGGTAAAATCTTAGACTCTTTATAGTTCTTGGCACTCCCGTAGAATTCACCACCACTTTAAACAGCATGTACTTATCATCTTGACTAAAAAGGAACCTGGAAAGGTAGTACTTTGTAAAGGACTTTATTTTAAAGGTATTAATAAAAGTATGAGTTGTAAAGATGTTTAATCAGTTTTAAATATAACTGTTATAAATCAATGTTCTAAAGCCCTAATAAGCAGAACAGGTATTGAAATTTCCTTTTCTCCATTCCTACTTTGTTTTCACAATTCCATTCACTATTTAATAATATTTATGCGTATATACACGTATATAGCACATTTTATAATTATATAAAGTTTATGGTATACACGCATATAGCACATTTTATAATTATATAAAGTTTAGAAATCCAAATGTATAATTAATAAAATTTTCAACTCCCTCTTCCTAATTTTAAGGTAGATGAAATCAAAATGGCTTGAACTATGAGATCACCTACAGGAGAAAAAAGTTGGTTCTCCTTGCCTGAATTAGTGACATAAAATTCTATAGCCTTCTATTTCACTTATGCATTATACTAATTTGATTCCAAAATCTCCCTTAAGTAACTAATGCTTGTACTCACTCATGGAAATAGTACTTGTTCCTGTCTTTTCTAATGGCCTTTCCTCCCCAAAGGTACAACCAAGGACAGGAGCAGGGTGACAGCCTGTAGAGAAGACAGAGACCTGCCCGTCTGCCTACATACGTGGGCAGGACAGAAAAACCGTACCCATCTGTGCCACAAAGCATAAAGCTCTACATTATTGGGAGGAGAAGAAGACTTGAAAAGACTTCCTGATTCCCACGGGCCTACGTCGTGCACACTGCTAGGACAGAGAGGAAGAGAGAAATGCATTCCTACCTTTTACTGTTGCTCAGGAAGTAGAGCCTGAAGCAAAGGAAGCCTGCGAGGAAACAGAGATTGCCATGATTAACACAGGGAGTTTAAAGGCAGAGGAAGGCGAGAGGGGCAGCAGCAGCTTTGCCACGCGTGTCCTGTAACCCCAAGGACCTCCTTCCCATCCTACTACGTCACCAGCGGCCAGCTCTGGCTTCCTCTCAGGATTGAGCTTCATTCCAGGAATTATGGAAACGCTCATGCCATTCCCTAAGAGGAAGGAGACTGGGGAAAATCAAGTCACTACTCTGGAGCTTTCCTTTATAGTCTTCATCTGGTCCTCTCTTTACACACCAAACAACAGCTCAAAAGGATGGACAGTCACCTGGTCACCACCCATTTCATCCTTGCTTGTGCACCTGGAGATGCTCCATGAACGGTATCAAAAACACAGAGGAAAAGCCGGAGAGGTGGCACCTGCTTACAATGCCACCTGCAAGACTAAGGCAGTAGGATTTCAAGTTGACTCGTGCCTGGGCGCCTTAAGGAGACCCTGTCTCAAAATAAAAACTCCAGAGGACTTAAGACTTAGATGCAGCTCTGTGTGACAGCAGTTCAGCTCCCTGGGTGGGGGGCCCTCCAGGGAGCCGCCTCCCTCGTGTCCATCAGTGACACCAGGCGCAAGCAGCAAGCCTGAAGCCACAGGCTCCAGCTGAGCAGGGAGTGAAAATGAAAATGAAAGGGAAACCGAGGAAAAGTCAGATAGATTTCCTGCTCCTTTCAAAGCTACTGCAATGATGTAATCTCAGGTTCCAGAGCTGTGCTGTATTTTCCTAACAAACATCCTCTAATCCCATTCCCCTGCTTTTTCAGTTCTCAGCTCTCCATTGTCTTCATCCAAATTCTCTTTAAACTTCAAATCTGATGTTACATACATGGCTTTACATACATACATACATACATACATACATGGCTTTATCCACTTCAAATCTGATGTTACATACATGGCTTTATCCACACAAACTTCCCACATTCCTTGGCAAGCCAAAGAGCTCCATAATTACCGTACAAATGAATACCTTTGCAGTATAAGGACAAGAAAGTAGCAAACCATTGAGCCTTAAGAAGGGATGAAGGCTGGGTATGGTGACATGAGACCAATCCTAGCATTCTGAGGGGCTGAGATAGAACACCAAGAGCTTGTCTTAAAATTACAAAGATTTTAAAAGGACTGATCATGCAGCTCAGTGCAAAGACCCTGGGGTCAATCCCCACTATAGGAAAAATGGAACGAAGGAGAGGAGGCATGGAGGAAGGAAGGAAGGGAGGAAGAGAAGAAAGAAGGGGAAAAAGGAAAGGAATTGTGACATATGCCACAACATAAATGGACCCTGAAGGCACCATGTTAACTGAAACAAGTCTGACTTAAAAGGAGAGATACTGCAAGCTTCCACTTAGAAGAAATACCCAGAGGAGCAATTTCACAGGGGCAGGAAGTAGAACAGGGCTTCCCGGGGCTGAGGCAGGGGGAACTGTAGAGGGAGCTGCTGTCTGCAAGGCAGAGTTTCTGCCCCGCCAAGAAGCAGCTCTACCAGGACGTATGGGTGGAGACCACCTTCTCTACACTGCCTTCCTTCACCAATGACATGGTTTTCGCTCAGGGTGAGATGGGGCTTTAACCCCTTTTTTTAGGATTAAAATGGGGAGCAGCTGGTGCACAGCTGGACTACACAAACCTTCCTGCCTGCAGTGTGCGGTGAGAGGAGTGGAGTGGCCTCGGCCAGCACAGGAGGGCAAGCTGTGTTCCCAGCCCGGGCAGGGGAATAGCCAGGCTCTGCACACAAATTTAAAGGATGCATATTGGAGGAAATGTATTCAGAGGGTACAGGCATGAAACCTGGCTGTCTGAAGTTTAAAAAGTATCAATAATAAAAGGGGACCTTTTCAGAGCAGAGGAGGATGAAAATTTAGAGGAGACCCACGCCTCCCTTCTCAAAGATGGCTGTTTCCTATGTAACCTACGTGGCTTTCCTGTTGCTGGTGGTCCTCCAGGATGAGTAGCAGCAATGTGACCTTTCACACAGGAAAAACCTGTCCTCTAGGGCACAGAAGTTCATGCACACAGGCTGACTCTGATAGGTCCGGACAAATTACTTCTATTTATGTATACACCAAACCAAGTGGGTCTTTCCACAGGAACCCTCAGCCTCCTTACCACTGCAGGCCAGAATGAAGTATAAAAGATGTCATTGTCCTCCCCAAAATTCCAGACTGAAGAGTAATACATTTCTTTTTTAAAAAAAAATCTAAAAGAAGGTAGTTTATAGTGTAACATACACCGTCACAGTTGTACGGAAACAAAATTTTAGATTGGAAAGTGACTCCACAGTTGAGTTTGCCTGCTCTTAATTTTAAAGATGAGAAGGAAAAGTAGGTCGCATGTCAACATCAGTTCCTTAGCAGCTACTTCTTACTGTGGCTCTGTCTCTTCACACTGACAGCTGGAACTGCAGGCATCCTGTGGCCGGCAGGCCTGGGGCTTCTCACAATCCCAATTTTATATACTCCTGCCTTCTAAATGCATCCTCAGTTTCAGAAATATTAACTCAAAAATCCTACACTCTTTCTTGATTTTAGAGGTGGTCCCCAAATTCTGGGTTTCCAGTTTGCTAAATGTGATGGTTGCAGTAAGAATTCTCATTCAAAATGGTAATTTAGGCTGGCTGTGGTACCACACTCCTGTGACCCCAGCACGCGAGAGGCTGAGACAGAAGGCTCACTGAGAGGTCAAAGCCAGACTGGGCCACACAGTGAGACTCTGTCTTGATGGATGGATCCATGGACTGATGGGTAGACAGATAGACTTAGAAGGCTGACCATCCACAAGACTGAGACGTGTTTTTGCCCGATTCCCCCTAACGTGTTTAAAATCCAGCCTCACCTCTTCCATAAGTCCCTCTCCTGCCCCACAATAATTGTCCCTTCTGTGAAATCCAACATCATTCAGTACTAGAAGCCACAGTGCAAACAGACATGTGAAGTCAAATGGAGATGAGAATAAATCCCAGTGTATGGTTTGACCTTTCTGAGCTTTGGTTTCCTCACCTAAAACATAGTAAGGATGTGGTCTTAGACTTTTTCCATTTCCCCTCTATTCACCCTACTTTCTGAGCCCAGCAAAAGCTTATTCAATTAGTAAAGATTTTTTTTTAAAAAATTGCCAGGGGCGGCCATGCACACCCATAATCTCAGCTACTTAGGACGCAGAAGAAGTTTGCAAATTTGAGTTCAGCCTGAGTAACTCAGCAAGACCCTGTCTCAAAATAAAATAAAAGGGGTGAGAGTGCATATCTCAGTGGCAGAGGGCTTTCCTTGAAAGTATAAGGCTCTGGGTTTGATCCCAAACACACACACACACACACACACACACACACACACACACACATTCTCTCTCTCTCTCTTTCTCTAATATTTCAAACTTTTATTCCTTCTCCCATCCCCCAAATATGGGGCAGCATCTTGGATGCTCTTTGGTTAAATGTGCTTTCTAGCTCACAGTCTCTTCCAGAGTTGGAATCTAAAGTACAGTATCTTAGTTTCCAAACCATAGTGTGTCCGGATTTGTAAGGAAATCCCAAACGACTGGCCTCAGCCTGGGCCAGTGTGTGCAGCCTGCCTTTGGAATTGATCCTGGTCTTTCTGGACTTCATTCTCCTCATCCGTACACAGGAAAAGGTGGCTGGACTGGGTACAGGGCTTCCAGCTCCCAAGGGCCAAAGCCCACTGCCAGTCCTCAGCAGGTGAGTGATGGGAACACGTGGGGGGCCTCATGCCAGGGCCCTGGAGGGTGACGGGAAGTCCTGCTCCAAGGTCAAAGACTAGTGCTCTCTTTCCTCATGTTTGAAAACACTTTTTCCTCCCAGTGGACCTGTTTTGAAATTGATATGCATGGATGCATCGGTGCAGAACATGTTGAGGACCGTAATGACTTCCTTCTTCGCTTCCTTTAAAGATGCTATCAGACAGACGAACGCAGGCAGAAGTAGCCAGCACAGGGCTCGCCAGGGACATTCGTCCTCAGGAGGTGCTTAGCCAAGCCTTTCCGCCACATTTCTACTTTGCTCTCCCAACTGCCCTGTCAGTGGTATTTCGATTCTCACCTCACAGTTAAGGAAACTGAGGCTTTAGCTGCTTCACAGATGGGAGTTTGCTCTTTTGTCTAAGAGGTGATATGGGTGCTAACTCCCTTGCAAGGGAAGAGAACAGAGTGCAGTCTATTTCTGGCCAAGAACAGACTACTTCCAGTTATTAGCAGTTCTAGTTACACTAGCCTTGCCTCTGAAGCTTTTAAGGAGCACCAAAAACCTCCAAATCTGCATGATGCACAAATGAAACAAAGGCTTTAGCTCCGAGACACATCCCAGCAACACTTTGACCCTGGTGACCTGTAGGTGCTCTGGGCTGCCAACAACTGCTCCAAAAGCCCAAGTGGCGAACTTCACCCAGCATTTTCATTTGCTCTCAATTGCACTTGTGAATAATCCTGAATTTAACACAATCACCGATTCCCAATGTGATGGCATGAAAAGAGACCCGTGAGATGAAAGCATATTTAGAGACAAGTTGTACCTCGGTGAATACAGGATAAGCCCACTAGAAAACTGCAGGCAGAGGGGGATGTAGTGCAGTGGCACAGTGCTTGCCTGGAGGGCAGGAGTTCCTGGGTTCCATCTCCAGCTCCAAAAAGTAAAAACTGAAAACCCCCATCAGCCTCCAAATTAATATACTGAACAGGTGCACTGGAAACTACGTGAGACATACAAACCCAGAATTATTTCAGCAAACATCTTTTGGGGGGACGAAGGATGTCATTCAAGCGTCTCTGTACTATTTGCATCTTTACTCCCAATAATTTTAAAATTATAAACTGAGATTGCAAAGTTACTAGTTCTCCCGAATGAGCTCCAATTGAATATATTTGCACAGCATTATAGTAAAGAAAATGTCTCAAAAATAAAAGAACATTTACAATCGAATTTCATCACTTTCTTTGGTTTCATCTCTCTG